TGCATATAGGCAAAAACGCATAAAAAAGATTACAAGCCGGAAATCAGCTTATAAGGGGCCTCTGTTTAATTAGTTCGAAAGTTAATAAATGATTTTGCAGGGAATCCATAAAGTAACTAAAAAGCTGGAAAAAAGGGCCAGCGCCAAGGAGCGGCGGCATCTGGCTCTTCTGTTCAGCCAGCGTCTGGGAACGCAGGTCTGTGGACTTTCCTTTTGGTTACATCTCAAAGGTTGTTTTTTATAAGTTCGCTCTTTGAAACGTCGAAAAAATCATTACAGGTTGGTGTTAAATTGATGTTCTCGCAGTCGCGCGATGAACCCGACGAGGGTGCTACCGAAAATGTTCGTATTGCTGAGGACGCTGCGAAAGACAGTGATTACCACACATTCACAACAAATGTTGCCGTGAGTTACTGTGGTTCATTTTCTGTTGCAGTACAAAAAATTAAGCAAAAACCATTGTGACGACGAAAAAGTGGCACTAAGAAAACTGGGCAATTAATTCCTGGTTCTCTAAATGCACACAGTGGGCAAAACGGCTTTGTGGTGGCAAATTTACTTTGCTTATGCTTAGACCTTTCTGAGACATGACCAAAGCCCTATCCTTTCTTAAAAGGTGAAATTTTATTCAGTTTGATAAATGCAAGCATTTTTAGCTGTGATGGTCACTGAGCCATGAAAGCAGTGGAGGTCGATTAAGAAACACAGTTTGCTTAGCTAGTCTCGCAAAGCAGACCACATCTGCTCTTGGTTTGAGCGATAAAGTATGCCTTATGCTGGAACACCGGTGCCTGCCTTTCTAAAGTACTCATTGTTGCGAGCACATTTCATTGTGCGCCATAAATGAACTAAATGCGTTAGCTAAGTGGATGGACACTACCCTGCAGCTGCCCTCACTTATTGGCAGTGCAGACTCCGGCCTAAAACCTCATGCTGCAACACCACATCTCAAAATTAAGAGTACCAAAAGCATTTATTATTTTGCATAAAACTACATTTCACACCTCTTGATCTTCGAGTTCAAGGAATTTTTTGAAGGCTCTTTTTACAAACTATCTTGGCCTTAGACATTTTGACGATGTCTAAGGCCAAGGCAGTTTATAAAAAGAGCCTTCAAAAAGGACCTTCAGAGTCTTTTTACTTTTTTCGAAATATATTGAAAAAATAAAAAATGTGTGGTTAATGCACGAAGT